TTAAAAATTTCTAAAAAGTGGTGTCACTATATAGTTAATAATTAAAAATTTACAATTGTCCCTTTCTAATTTTTTTCATATTTTTTTAAAAAATATAGAATTGCATCATTGATAACACTGTCAAATACATAATCGCATCTTAGTAATTTCAACCCATGAGGTATATATATCATAAGGAACATGTTAGATTAGATTGATCAGACGAGTACGTACACACTGTAAAATTGTTGGAACAATAGCAAACACAAAAAACATATACCCTCTTAATATTATTAAAAAACTACTTCAACCCTTCACCTAGTTAAACTAGGATATATCTCAAGTGGGTCACATGTTCATTTTATCTATTGCCGGTGGTTGGAAATGAAGCATTTATTTTAGGTCTATTTGCTTATATGGCCATGAGTAGAATCAAGGCACAAAACTATGTAACTCATAATAATTCAAGAAGAAGTGGTGTCATGTGACACCACTTCCTCATGAGTCGATCCGCCCCGAAAAATATGCACTTTGGATAAAGCAAAGGCAATTAGCCACGGTATCTTAATATGAGAATGTGCAACTACGAACATGTCTTTGTAAAATTTGTTAAAAGGCAGTTCTGATATTGTTTCTTTTGGTCGACTCCATTTGGATTCTATTGCAAAGGCAATACTGTTCTAAAATAATTGCTCAGTTTACATCAAGGTTTAAAAGATGAACTAATTAGTAAAGACAAAATTAAGGGCTTGTTTAGGTTTAGGTGTTCATGTCATGTTCGAACCCCACCTAGCGAAAACTTTTGTTTACCTTAAAATATGTAAAAGATGGGAGTATGTTATACCTCTTTTAATAACGACCAGTTGTTTCATGGATCATTTCACTAATACTAGATTGTTATACACACACATATACATACATATAGATATATGCACACGTGTTGGGCGCAGAGTCACGCCCACCGCCGCGGAAGCGATATGTCCTGAGAGAGCACTGACTTTTGTTTTCACAAAAGTATAAGTCAAACTCGATATTTGTGTTTCGCGAAGGAAACCCAGATTCAGTAGCGAAATATCTCAGCGAAGTGAGATATCCACTCTTCCTCTCATCAGTGCAAGGACTGAACTATCGAGGGCACCTGCAAGTAAACAAATAGTTATGACAATACAAAGACGAGATTTACGTGGTTCGGCAAACTAGCCTACGTCCACGGGAGGGGGTTTTCACTATGAGGAGAATACCAAACTTATTACAAGTTTTATCTCAACTCTCTCTTTTCTCTCAAAAGAACTCCAATACAAAACCCACAATTGATTTTTCCCCACACCAATAACTCCTCCACCCCTTCTCTATTTATAGGAAACCAAAGAAGGGGGGAGCC